TAGCATGCATCAGTACTTCATTTTTATGGCCAAATAATATTACACTGTATGAATATACCATATTTTACTTAGCCATTAATCAATTGAAAGATATTTGGATTTTTCTACTTGTTGGATGTTATGAATAAGGCTGCTATGAACACTCATGTATAAATTTTTGTGTGGACATTTTTTCATTTCTCTTGGGAATTTAATTATGAGTGTAATTGCTGGGTCATATGGTAGCTCTATGTTTAACCTTTTGAAGAACTGCCAGACTTTTTTCAAAGCACCTGCACCATTTTATATTCCTACCACAGTGTATGAGATTTCCAATTTCTCCATTTTTTGCTAACACATTAAAAATAGGTAACAACTGAAGAGCAAGTTTCTGAACAAGAGTGCCCCTAGTCATAATCGATACTCTATCTCTTGCTGCCTCAGCTTTGCTTGAGTTGCCCAAAATATAACTCTGAATCTGGCTGTAAATAGTATGACACTTTGGAAAAGCTAATCGATGTCAGATTGCATGAAATTTTTCTTGAAAAAAATTAGCTTAATAACTTCTTAGCTATGTTTGGATAATTAAAATAATTCTTCCTTTTTATTAAACTAAATTTGGATGATTTCTATATAGGGAAAACATTTTGTCCAAGTTATAAAATTTGCATTAGCGAAAAATTTTTCAGCTCTAATGCAAACCTAGAAGAAGTAGCTTGTTTTTGTGTGTCCCACCTTTCCCCTTTTTGTTCTCTCCTAATTACAATCTTACATGTAAGTATTATACCCTGACAGTTCAGTTTTAACAATGTAATAGAATTAAAGAACTTTAAGGCTTAAAGACCCAGTAATGTGATGATTTAATTTATATTTGCTATAAATGTTTTTTATTTTTTAAAAATTTTTATCCATTTATTTATTTGTTTGTGTTTTTCGGGGGGAGGTTGGTAATTAGGTTTCTTTGTTTGTTTTTGGAGGAGGTACTGTGAATTAAAGCCAGGACCTCATGCATGCGAAACATGCTCTCTGCCACTTGAGCTATATCCTCCCCCCATAAATGTTTTTTTTAAAGTGATTAATAGTGCATATTGTTCTTTTTAATTGTGATATTCACGATTTATTTATGAACCTGTGGCCATTTTCATTATCCATAAATTTCTGAGGTTCTTAAAATCCAAAACCAGTAAATAAAATGTCTTTTTTCTTCATCCATTGAAACAAATTTTGAAACATTGCATATATCATACCTACTTTAAAATTTTCTAAGCTTTTGTAAACTCAAAGTTAGATGTTTTCTACATCATGTACAACTTTGATATTTGGAATTCTATTCTGTATAATGGGAAAAAAAAATCCCTGCTGGGTTTCTTTGGGGGGGAGTTTTATATTTTGAACCAATTGCTTTGTTATTTCTCAGACTTCCTTTCTTAAGTAGATTTTATGGAATAAATTTTGGAATCATCAGCTTAATGGTCTTCCTTAAGTAAAATGTGAAATATTTCTCTAGATCTTGAATATTCAAAGCCTATAGTACAGGAAGTTGTTATTATCTCAGACTCAAGGAATCAGAGATGAAATGTTATCTGTGTTGTAAGAATCAACAGTTATGCAAATTCATGACACATTTCATCTGGGTTTATAGAAAGTAATCATTTTTCTGAACATTATTGACTTTATAGTAGTCTTGTCCTTTCAACTGAAGCTGCAGTGTGACTCTCAGACATGTACTGTAGGTAGCTCTGTATACTTCCAGGAGTTTTAATACTTTTTAGCACTGGTGAGAAACTTTGAAGTGCACATTCGAAAAGCAAATTTTAATAGCCAACTGTTGAGGCACTCAAAATAAAAAATGATTTTAAAATTATTAATAGCCCTATTTTTTTAACTTGTTAATTCAGTGTTTTGGGGAATTTTTTATATTTATTGATCCAGATATCCTGATCACTGCAGAACATGCAATGAACTATTTTCCTAATTAGTGATTTTTCTTAGTCTATTCTGTCTGCTGTAACAAAATACCACAGACTTGGTAGCTTGTAAACAATGGAAATTAATTTGTCACAGCTCTGGAGGCTGCAAGTCTGAAACTAGGGTGCCAGCATGGTTGGGTGAGGGCCCTCTTCCTATTGGAAGCCAGTGTCTTCTTGCTGTGTCCACGGGTGCTAGAAGGGGCAAGTGAGCTCTGTGGGATCTCTTTTATGAGAGCGCTAATCCCATTTGTGAAGGCCCCACCCTCATGACCTAACACCTCTCAGAGGCTTTCATCTTCAGGGATTAGGATTACAACATAGAAATTTTTGAGGGACCCAACATTTAGACCATAGTAGTGATTTAAAAAAAATTGCTTTGTGATCTCATTATTTCTGAAAATAAATAACGTAAAATTCTGAGGAAATAAGCCATCATAAAAATGAGTTTTTGTTCTCTAGAGAATTTGGAATAATTTCTTGGTGCTTGCCTATATTAACAATAATTGGTCTATATTGCATTCAACTCTGCATAAAACAAGTATGTAGAATAGTGCAATTTAAATCATAATAATCTCAACTGGCTTTGGTCTTTTTTATTTATTTTAGCTCTTATATTTATTGTTAATTTCTACTTTCTTTACATTTACTGTTTAATTTTCTAGCTTTGTAAAAAGAATGCTTAATTCAATTAGTTTCAAATTTTGTAAATAAACACATTTCAAGTTATAAGCATATTTCTAAGTGTTGCCTTTACTGCATCCAGCACGTTTTGAATTATGGGTGCTTTTTAAAATCACTCATAGCTAAAAATTTAAGAATATAATCTTTAGTGTTGGGCTTGTATGTTTGTTTGATTTTTTTCCCCACTAACTTTATATTATTGACTTTTAATCCAAAATTGCATTGTTGTTAGAATTGTAGTTAATCTGATAAAAATTCTTTGAAATTTATTGAAAGACCTTTTGTAATCTAGCATGTGGTTTTTTTAAGTGTTCCATTTGTGCCTTTATATTTTCTACTTGTTGGCTACCTGTCTCTGTTTATGTATTTACTTGATTCAGCTTATTTAATGATGATCAAATTTTCAAATGGCATAGATGCCTATGGGTTAGATAAAATGATCTTAAAGAATCTTCATTTAAAGAATCTTTAATTAAGGATATTAAGAAGTTCACCTTAGATTTAAAGAGATAGCTTAAAATTGATCAACTTTGACAGGAGTAATTTTTTTCCTGCTTTTGAAATCCCCAAGATAGCAATGAT